CGCCATGCCCGAGTCGGCCCCGATGGCTCGTCATGCAGGGCCGACTCGGCGATGCCAAACGAGTCCTCGACCGAACCTCTGACTCCCTCGAAGAGTCAAACTTAGACTCGCCGAGATCAAAGAGGCGGCCGGAATCCCGAACACTGCGACGAAGACGTCGTCGCGGTCTCTAAGAAGAGCCAGGGTGGAGGAGTCTGGCGGGACCTACTTCTCCACCCGACCCCCGCCGTGCGCCACATCCTGATCTGCGCGGTGGGGATCCACTTCTTCCAGCAGGCGAGCGGCATTGACTCTGTGGTCCTCTACAGTCCCGAGATCTTCGAAAAGGCCGGGATCGCCAAGACCACCGACAAGCTGCTCGCGACGATGGCAGTCGGATTCACGAAGACGCTCTTCATCTTAGTAGCCACGTTTCTGCTGGACAAGATCGGACGGCGCCCATTGCTCCTCTCCAGTGTGGCGGGGATGATCGTATCCCTGTTGGGCCTGGCGATCGGGCTCACTGTCATCGAACACGCGGAGCACAAGTTAATCTGGGCCATCGCTCTGTGCATCGGGTCGACCTTGTCCTACGTGTCTTTCTTCTCGATAGGGATGGGCCCCATTACTTGGGTCTACAGTTCGGAGATTTTCCCGTTGAGGCTGAGGGCACAAGGGTGCGCTATGGGAGTGGCGCTGAATCGGGTCACAAGTGGGGTGATATCAATGACGTTCTTATCCCTTAACAGAGCTATAACTATTGGAGGAGCGTTCTTTCTGTACGCAGGGGTAGCTGCCATTGCATTGGTGTTCTTTTACACCTTGTACCCCGAGACGCAGGGGAAGACGCTCGAGGAGATGGAGAGTTTGTTCGGGACATTCTCCAAGTGGAGGTCGACTTTGAGGACATTGAATGAAAAGAAGAGCGAAAAGAATGGCCAAATTCAATTAGAGGGTGCTCGTGTGGCTAGTTAGGGTTGAGGGTAGTTTTGTAAATTGCTTTCTTGATGAGTTGTATTTTCGTTTCGAACTTCATCAATAATGACAAGCCATAAAGATTGTGGGGGGTGAGGTGGGAGATGAGAAAGGGATGGAGGGCGACAAGTCGAAAGTACTATTGTAAGGTAGAATGGAACATGTGGTAGAAAATCGAACATGCGAACATATTCGATGTAAGGTGCTAAATTTGTTGAGTACTTTGGGCGGTTTTCGTAATGGATTGTATGTGAAACAAGTCTAAGATGGGATGTATCAAATTCCAGCAACAAAACATATTTACTTTCTACACAGATTTTGCATGCAACTGAGGAAAGTTTCAGACGTACTTAATAATTCGAGCTACTGTCTGAATTTTCGTAAAACAAGGAGTCGCCCGATTACGTACAAGTAGCTCATCTTCATGTTTCCTCTGTTCCAATAAATAAAAATAAAAATAAAATCAGGAGAGATCAAGATATGCAACTCACAGCATGCATACAGATGATATAATTGCAATCCCGTTTTCCATTTTCAATCCCGTTTTGCAAAAATATTCAATCAAATTGTAATGTACACAAATCACGACTTTCAAATTGATGGGCACTTTCAAAATGCTCATTTCCATCAGAAGAAGTTTCAAATGCGAAACGTCGAATAACAATTTAGTTGTCTTTAAGAAGGGGGGATAATAATTAAAAAAAAAATCAATAAGGTGATGGACTTTTGAATCGTTTATTATTCCGCAAGAATAGCAAAACAAACTGGCCTTCTCAAACAATCCAACCTAAGCATGCGAAGCTTATATAATCGTAGAGTTGGAGCTTATTGGTCGTTTCACTTACATTACTGGGAGAAGCACAATTTCAAATATAAGTAACCGACCTCTCTTGGCTGCTCGCCTTCAATCCTCCACCGCACAACGAGGTACTTAATTCACCATCTTCGTTTTGCTATGCCTACATCCAAACACCCCTTTAACGGCTGCTTATGAAAAATAACGGAGGGAATAATAATAGCATGGCTGCTCTTCTATTCTAAATATAAACTAAACTACGGCGACCGAGTTATTTACTCGTCTCAAACTATAACTAAAACAGTGCTACACGTGAATTAACCGAACTATAACTCTAACTAAACGATCAAAATCAGTTAACGAATTAAACATTAATTTAACCATGCACGCAACCCGAAACTTGTACCGTGACAGAAAACCAACAAGCCAAACCACTGAGAACAGAAATCAAAGCCCAAGATTAAACTTAATTTTAGCTATATTTCTGGTAATTTCATTTCATCAGCCATCATCAAGATTAAACTAATTAATGTAACAAGCGTTAATTAATGTATTTTGTGTGTGTGTGTGTGATTGTACAGTGATAGCATCAAACCCTAGATGTAGTGATAATTCTACAGGGCCCTGATTAATTGACCTAAATGCATTTCTGTGTGGCGAACTATCAGTAATTCCAAGCTAAATCTCCATAATTCAGGGAAGGGTTTAAAATCCATTTCAATTTCAATTTCGGATTTCGAATTTCGTCATTAATCAATCATCAAAAGAGTATTCAATTCAGGTGCGAGAACGAGAATTTTACACATTCGTAACCAAATAGCTGAAACGATTGGGTCGAATATTTCGTACCTGAACTTCGCACGGCGACGACAACATTCCGGCCGCCGAACAGAACCCGAGGCGGAGGAGTTCGGCCGACGTCTCCGATCTCAGCTCACGCGCCGCCGTGCGCCGGGGGTGTTGGGGTTTTAAATTTCTTCCTGCAGGCGAGCGGCGTGGATTCCGTGGTGCTGTACTCTGTAGTCTGTACTGTTGAGATTTCGCGTAAAAGGCTGGCGCAACGATGGCCGTCGGATTTTACGACAAAGATCGGACGGCGGAAATTGCTTCTTTCTAATTTGGCGGGAATTTATTTGGGCCGGAAATTTGTTACACGTGACGTTCTTTTTCAATTGGACTGGGCCCAATATTTCGTTCCGTGTTATGCGTAGTCCCGTTGCATAAATTGACGAATTTGATATTCAAACAAATTGACAGAACTATGAATATATGAATTATTCATTGAGAGTTGTAAATTAATAATCTTATACATACAATACAATAGAATATTGATAAATTAATACTCGATTAATTAATAACCTTACTTGAATAATAGAATTATTAGTTTGATGATTTAACATTTCATTTAATTAATAGAATTTTGCTAGTCTCAACTGTATTAATTTATAGAGGTACGGTTTAAATGTATAAAGAAACGTTAGCGCAACCCTAAACAACTTTAATAGCATTTCTGTAATTATTAATTTTAAATCATTTTTTCTATACTAATTTTCTAAATATAAAAAGTTTAAAATTAAAACAAACCCGTGTAGAATCCTTTCAAAATTGATCTCTTATTTTTTTTTATCCATACATTTCTAGTTACATTTACACGTTTTTTCTCTCTCTAAAATTTTCTTTTATTAATTTCTTCATTTTATTTAATGATTAATTTTATTTTATGACAATTAAGTTTATCTTTTTTTTTTCTTTTCAGAGTGGATTTGTATTAAATCATATTTGAATGAATGATGATATTGTTATTTAAATATCACTAATATATTGTCTTATTATAATTGTTATTATCATGTATTTAAATAATTATTTTTTCTATTTTTAAAATATTATCCCGTGCATCGATCTTGTTCATACAGGGGAAAAAATGATGTCCCTTGGTTTGTAAGACAAGGTTAGATTAAAAACCTAATTACAAAACGAAGTGAGTAAGAATTAGTAGTAATATAATTGCATTAAAAGTTAGGAAAATTCAATGAATTGGCTAATTAATGCGATATGCATGGAATTAGTTAAAGCTATAAATACGCAGAATTTTGTGCTTGTTCGTGTAGGAGTAATTAAGAACCTAAGTACATTGTTTAATTTCTCTAATAATCCCAACGCTAATTTTTTTTCTTTTTAATTGGTTGTATTAGTGGATATAATTAATAAGTTAATGCAAATTATATTTTCATATAGAAAGACAAAAGGTACCACTGTATCATAATCAGTCGATCATACAGTATATTATACATTCGTACACTTGTGTCTCTGTAATGATAATAGCAATCATATAATATATTTAAAAAAAAAATAATTAAGAAATACATTAATTTTAAGAATAATATATTCTTTTTAATTCAATAATTCAGTTGCATTTATGAACATTTTTTTTATATATAAACGGTGTTAACGCTTAGGTCAAGCCTAAGAAAACCCTAATGGCATCTATGTGTAATTACTATTTTTTTTTTATCTTTACTATCTCATTTTTTGTTATTGTTAATGGCGTTTTCGTAAAAGAAAAAAAAATCTATACGAAAACTCTCGGAAATCATGATAGCATTTTTTTCTCGTAATATTTTCTTCAAATATGCTTGTTTTTCAATTGTCACGTATTTAAATAATTATTTTCCTCATTTTTTAAAATACTAGTATTTTTTAAGCCCTATTTAAATTCATCATACATAATTGCAATAAACGTTTAAATTTATTCAATTTAGAAAAATTGAAATAAAATCAAAATTCAAAATTAGAATTAGACTGCAGCACCACCAGTGTGACTACTGGGAGTGTCAGGTGGTATATTTTGTTAATTATGTCAGGTGGTATATTGTACATTCGTACTACATTCTGTCTTATGTAATGAATAATGATAAAATCAATTATATAATATTATAAAAATTCAAATTATCAATAAATAATTATAAATACATGGCATAAAAAATATAATTCTAAAATTGCACTTTTTTGCGGAAATTATACTTATATAATATAAAAAAAAATAGAGTTTTCGATTAAATCACTTCCACCCCTAGTTATTAATATTTTGAATTTCATTTATAAAACAATATTTTTATCTCAATAAATACATTTCTTGTATAAATAAATTTGGTCCTAATTGGACAAATAATTAGAGGCAACTTTTAAATCTTTAAAGACAATTTTATTTTGTTAAAAAAAAAATTATTTTATTTTCTTTTTTAACAAACTTGAGCCCTATTTAAATTCAAAAATGTAATATACATCTTAAAGTTAATCACGTTTGCTATTTTTTCTGATTGGATAAGCCTAAATCTTTGAAACGAAATCATTTTACATTTCTACTATATAATATAATTCCTCCTTTAAATACATAAAAATAAAAAAAAAATTATCATTTTATTTTTTTCTTATATTACTCCAATATTTTTGGGCTTCCTTTTATTGCAATTAATTTGCAATATAATATATATATTATTAATTAAAAATAAAAATAAAAATAAAAAATAAGAATTTGAATGGGCATAAACTCCGCATTAGTAGGTGATGGGATTCTTTTTCCGCGAATGAAAAATAAAAAAATAAAAAATAAATAAATAAACTGAGGCATTTCTGTTTGTGCATCTTTATCTCTAACAAACTTCTTCTACTCTTCTTCTTCTTCTTAATTTCTTCCTCCTTTTTCTGCCCTAGCTTTCTCTCTCTACTCTCTCATCCCTCTTTCTCTCTCTACTGCATTCATTATATAGAAATGGACCGAAAGCGAAAGAGCAGTGCCCAAGATTCACCCATCCCGATAATGAACCCTTCTTCTTCTTCCACCTCCTCCGCCGACGATGATAATCTCCCCCCGCCGCCGTCAATGAAACTCACGCCGCCGCCGTCAATGAAAATAACGGCGTGGATGAGAACGAAACGGTTTCGTTAACCCTATCTCTGTCCAGCCAACCCACCGCCACAACCACCACCTCCCTCCGTCCGCGTCTGCTCTCCACCCCACAAAACTGGCACCACCGCCCTCCGCCGCCGCAGATTCATCAGTACTTCCCTCTTCCGATAACACTACCAATGGATCTACCCCACTTCAACCAAATGTTCTACCCACCAAATTTCACCGCCGCCGGTCCTTCCTTCATCAACCTCAACAACCCACCCCACCCCCTCGTTCCGCCGCCGCCGCCGCCATCGCCAACCTCCGTCGGCTTCCTCCGCCCGCGTCGCCCCCGTCGCAACCAATCCCGACCCCCACCGGAAGGCAGATCCCCGACCATCACACCACCGTTCCCATGGTCAACAAACCTCCGCGCCACCGTGCACAGCCTCAACCACCTCCTCTCAAACCAAATCGGCGCCGTGAGCGGCGAGGTCCAGTGCCGCCGCTGCGAGCGCCGCTACACGATCTCATTCAACCTGATGCAGAAGTACAACGAGGTGGCCGCATACATCACCAACAACAGAGACGCCATGCACCACCGCGCACCAAAAGCGTGGCTCAGCCCGCCGCTCCCGACGTGCGAATTCTGCGGGCAGGAGAACGCCGCCCGCCCCGTAATCGCCGACAAGAAGAGATCCATCAACTGGCTGTTCCTCCTCCTCGGACAGATGCTCGGCTGCTGCACACTCGAACAGCTCAAATACTTCTGCAAGCACACCAAGAACCACCGCACCGGAGCTAAAGACCGGGTTCTGTACTTGGCTTATCTCGCTCTCTGCAAACAGCTCGATCCAAACGGTCCCTTTGATGTTTGATTTGATTAATTCGGTTTAATTGTTTTGTTAATCGTGGATTAGTGTGGATTTAATTTTTTCTAGGGTTTAATGGTTTGCATGTTGAGATTTTAATTTTTTTTCTAGGGTTTTGGGTTGGACTTCTATCAGTAGTGTAAATCGATCTCTTGGTTTCGTTTTATGCAAACATATTCATTACTTGTTTTTTTTTTTAATTTTTTTGGTTTGAATGAATCTTTGGTCAATATTATCATATTAATTACTCGTGCATTGCATCTCTAGTTTTTAATTCAATAGATTTTGTTAGTTAATTAGTCTTCATTATGAGTTTATTATGACCGTACGTGTTCTCTCTCTCCTTTCTCTCTCTCTCTCTCTCTCTCTCTCTCTCTCTCTCTCTCTCTCTCTCTCTCTCTCTCTACCTCTATCTCTGCGTGTGCGTACTTCTCTCTCTTTCTCTGTACTGTTGCTTTGTGTGTGTGTGTGTGCGCTTTTGCTCTCTCTCTCTCTCTCTCTCTCTCTCTCTCTCTCTCTCTCTCTCTCTCTCTCTCTCTCTCTCTCTCTCTCTCTCTCTCTCTCTCTCTCTCTCTCTCTCTCTCTCTCTCTCATTGTACGTCAAATACTCTAGGATTTCACTAACTAGCTTGTAGAAAGATTATGGTGAGTTTATTAAGATTAAATTAAATTAAAGATAAATCACATTTCTGCTGGTTTTTTAGTCATTTGGATAAATTTATGTAGTAATTAACGGGGGACAGGGGGGGCTTGGGAGAAACGTGTAAATATTAAAATTGTAGGGTATATGTATAAATATGCTATATAAACATATATAAGTTTTTATTTTATATATAAATTCTATTTTTTATATAAACTGATACAAGCATATTCGGAATAAATCTTATTATCAACTATCAATTTGGCAATTGATTATTAAATCGTGCAAATAACTAGGGAAAGAGTAAAAATATTTGAAAATTTGTTATTCAAACATGTTTATAACTTTTTTAGAAATTGAAAAATGACCCATAAAGTATCCGGCAAGTGCCCTCGAGTTTCCGAAACATGTAGGAAACATGGAAACATGAAAAAATTACAGTTTCCGTGCTACATAAACTATATAAATTTTGGACTTGATAATTGGGCCGTGCCATAATCTTGATGTTTAGAAGTGTGTTCTATTGGCAATAGCCCAATAGGCCTATGGTAAATTTTAAATTTAATTTCAATCTTATCTTTATTTTCTAAATCTTATATATAAAAGAAAGAAACGTTGGGCAACCCTAAAAAACCCTAATGGTATTTCTGTAATTATTTATTTTTAATATTTTTTCTCTACTAATTTCTAACTATAATTTTTAATAATTATCAAAATTAAAACTAACCCGTAAAGAATCCTATCTTGTTGCTACTTATGTGATTATTTATTTTTAATATTTTTTCCTTACTAATTTTTTAACTATAATTTTCAACAATTATTGATCTCCTAATTTTCATCAATATATCTCAAATCTTAAGAGATAAAGCTAGAAATTCAATATGAATAATGCTACATTATTAAATTTTATTGTATTAGTATACTATATTTTCTTATTATATATTAAATGATTATTTTTTTCACTATTTAAATAATATCCCGTGCATCGCACTGGGGAAAAATGCTAGTTTATATTTAATTTCAAAACAATTTTAACTAAACCTAACTCTGTAAATTCTAGAATTAATAAATCATTAATTAGATCTATGATGATCTATATATTGATCTATATAAAAGTAAATTCAAATAACTTTAAATTAAAAAATATATATATATACAATTATAATTAAAATTAAAAAATTATTAAATTCTCACAACTGATCAACTGAATACCAGCATTTAACGGAAAATTAGGTTGGATATATCAAAGCCGAACTTGATGCACAGTTAATTGACAAAACTACCCTTCTAAAACACTTCATTTTACCAGAAAATCTACAATTGGGGCAATGTGCAATGTATATTTTATTTTCAAGGGCGGAAGTTCACTTTTTTATGGTTGTAAGGGGTTTATTGCAAAATTTTAATTCTTTAGGGGGTGAAGTGTATTTTGCCCTTTACTTATCAAAAAAAAAAAAAAAAAAAGTGTATTTTGCCCTAAAAAAAAATTAATTAGAATTTACAAACAGAGCTATTATCACCACTTTGCATATATCATTTCATCAGTACACACATCAAAAAACCACAACAATTAGAAAAATCAAGAACACTACCCAAACATAATTATAGCAATCACCTCTATTTTACACTTACAAAAATAAAATAAATAAATAAATAAATAAACTATATACTTTACATATGTTTAAAACAGTCACATATTTCATATATATGTATTTTTTTTAGTATATATTTTTTCTATTTTTCCCCTTGAGACAATGGAATCCAAACAAGATTATCCGGAGGGAAAAAATGGCACACCGGCGAATCACCGGGCACAGTCCTCAAAACACGAAACGCAACATGATCCGCGTTCCACTGCGATGTGTCCAGGTGGCAGATGGCGGCAGCCGCCACCCTGCCGCCATCTTCTCCGGCCAGCAAAACCTTATAGATCTTATTGTCGCTGACTTGACCGTGGCAGTAGAAAACCGCGTAAGGATAAGGCAGCGTATGGCAAGCGACAACCGTTTTTCCGACCGTTTGCTCCGTCACTATTTCGGTTATCGTGTAGTTCTGCAGGAGGGGTATCGGTTCCGAGAGGTAGTTCGTGGTGACGGATTTGAATTTCGTTGCTAATATTTTAGTGACGGAATCGAGCATGGATTCGAGCGACGTGGCGCAGAATTTGCTCTCGCCTTTCATCGCGGGGAATTCGCAGTGGCGGAGAGTCGATTGCATGGCTAAGGCCTGTTTGGATCCCTCTTGGAATGAGAAGAGTTGGAGGATTTGAGGGAGTTGGAATGACGAGAAGGGAATGGAATCGGATTCCGGCTTCGATAGTAATTGCGGCGTGGTCGAAGGGTCGTTTGTCGGGAAGTAGATCGGCATCTTATTCCCGAGCCTTAGGTCTTCGTAGTGGAAGAAAACGTTGAGCTCTATCGGAAGATGGCGGTTGGAATCGTCGTCGTCGTTTTTTTCATCGACGATGTTTCTGCGGTGGGATTGCGTTGTTTGAATACATTGCAAAAATAACATAACAAATAAAACGGTACCGAACATATGATATTTTCGACTCGAAATAAACGTAATAGAAGTTTCGATAAGCCGAGGGACCGAAGAGAGGATCAAGAATGGAGGATTCATCATTTCTTGATTTTTTGAAAGTCTTTTGCTTATGAAATGAAGCTAAAGTGTGATTCCCTTTTATGAAGTCTTCTTGCTTTGTGTTGACTTTTTTTATTAAAAAAATATTTGGACAAATGGGAAGAGGACATGTGGCAGCTTGATTGAGGTAAGAAGAGGGAATCTTGTTAGCATAAGGAAAAAAGAAACATCATGGTGGTAATGATGTTTTCCAGAAATAGCTGATGGAAATATTGAAAAGCTCCCACTCAAATTAATAATTAAGAAGAAACTAGCTACATGTAATTTTATTTATTTGTTTATTTATTTTTATTTATTTATTTATTTATTAAGTAATAGTTTGTGTCTCTGTTTGATGAGCTGTACATTGTTGTTGATAAACTACAACAGAGTTTACTCTGTTAATTTATTTAATTATTTATTGCTTAGGTCATTCAAGTAATACAATTTGTTGGAAGTCAAATGAATAGATTAAGCATTTTATTGTCTAGTAGTCAAAAGTCAAAAGATCAAGATTATTTAAAATGTGCACATGGCCACTTTAGTCAGAAAGATTATAATTATGCAACCATGATTTTATTAAATGAATTTGCTATTATTCTCTTTAAGAATAATAATCTTTAATCTATTCCTTGGATACTTTTGTTGTCTAAATTACTACCACTCTCTTAGATAATGTCAAATTAAAAAAAAAAAAATCCCTCTTGTTTTGGTACTTACAACACCCCTCCGACTATGAATCTTTTATTTCACCCTTATGGTGTCAAATTAAACATAATCTTCTAGATTCCAATGTTCTCTAGTTTGTAATCGTTTTGTTCAAAATGCAGTTTTTGGTGCACCAATCTGATATTTACAAGCCAGACGACACATCTTATGATAATCTTGTTTTGAAAAATGTGGATCTCGAATGGGATAAAATGGGTACAAACTGGAGAATATTCCACATAATTTAGAAGATTTCACTAAGTTTGACACCGCAAGGGTGAACTTGTAAGAAGATTCATAAAGGGGTGGTTGTAATTACCCAAACATAAGGCGATTTTCGTAATTTGACCTCACCTCAGGGGTCACCGTAATTTAACTTTTTTTTTTTCTTCTCATTTTTCTTGAGTAAAGAAAAAAAAAAAACCCTTTTACCTAACATGGTGGTGGTGGGGTTAGGAATCAAGCAAGTACTAGCACGTACCATGAAGATTTATGGGGTATTAAATAAATATCTAAGAAGATCTTATACAAATTGTATTTTTTCATATAGCTATTGAAATTAGTTTGACAATGTGATGACATACCACTATAGAGTGTGACAATTGCACATTATGTTTACTAATGTTTTTGAAAATATTTGGGAGAAAAAAAAAATTATTCGATAGAATTGAGATTGACGGTAATACACCTCTCTTAAAGTTACGTCATACGTGTATTGGTTTGAGATTCATATTAATTGTTCATGTGACAGAGATTCATGTTTAGATAGACCGTAATCAGATGTTATATGCATTTATGTATGCTGAATGCACTATAAGATTAAGACTTCTGTATTTTCTACTTTAATAATTGGGTATTACAATTATATCTAATAAGCATTTTTAACCTATTTAATCGTTGATTTAATAATGTAAATAAGTTGACATTGTGATTCCTCTTAAAACAAGAGTTTGACATTGTGATGGCACACCACCATTGAGTGGGATATTGGGCATTAGTTTAAGTTTTTAATGTTTTGAAAAGTTTAGGGAGGAAAAAGAAATAAATAAAAGAAATTTCTAGATGGAAGGTCAACTTTAGTGTTGTGACACGATTGGAGATGAAGTTGCAATTAAATTAAAATAGAATCTATAACTATAATAATTTAGATAATATTTGCTCTTAAATTTTGGTTTATACATAAAATAATTCAGCTATGTTTTTGTAAATTATAAAAAATCCTATAGTATGGTTAATTACAACTACTCATCAGCTATGTATTGTTTTATACGTCTATTCTTACGGGGCCAATTTATCTACTGATCGGAAGATGGATTTTTTCGTAAGATAATACATAATTGATGGAATGGCTGTGATTACTCAGCAAGATTAGTTTTTTCATAATTTAACCTTATCTCAAGCATTACAATTTACAAATACAATCTTGAATTCGTTTTACATCAGTTCGATTGCACGATTTGCGAACTATTCCATAAAAGCGAAGTTGACAAATGAAAGCATCAAGTTGAAGTAAAAAAAACAAACAAGCAAACTTGAGGTCACATCTCCATTTTCGTTTTAGAGAGATTTGCATATACTCATTCAAGTATATATATATATATATATATATATATATATATATATATATAACATTTCAAAAGACAATTTAAATATTAAATATTCGAAAATGACCTCTCACATTGAAAAGTTCGTATGCATGGACCATATATATTTTTATAAAGGATAAAAGTAAGAATACATTTTTCATTTTAACTTATTCGATATAAAGGGGAAACAACAATCACAGTAGAATCTCGATAAATTAATAACATCATTTAAATAATATTTTTTTTAGGTCCCGATTCGTTTATAGCGTGCTAAGTTATTATTTCGCTATACATATAGAATTTGGTTGATCCCGACACCGAACTTAGCCAAATTTTGCAATGAATGATCAATAGGAGAGTGGGGGGTGAAGAGAGTTGACAAAAGGTGCCAATGGCAAATGTTGTATGGTTCTAAGATATGCACTTGGATATACTCTTCTTTCAATATATATATATATATATATATATATATATATATATATATATATATATATATATATATATATATTCAATTTTACTATCAAAATTTTGATTTTTTAATTAAAATTCTGGAATATTCATGGGATGTGTTTGGTTGAAATGACATGAGCCGGATCTCTTCAATATCATACGTAAATCCTACGAAAACGTAAGATTTATTGAATAATATATTTCTGCATAAATGAAACCCTAACACGAAATATCTATTTAAAGATAATAAAATCCTAAAATTCTCTACTCCACAAGAAAGATTAGTGTCTACCTAAAACAAATTAAATAACTGAAATCCTATTCTACACGGAAAGCAAATAATCGTAACGAAAATAAAACATTATTTAATCGTAACAAAAACCATAAATATATATATATAGAGAGAGAGATTTTGATCTTATCTGCTTCAATTTTTTTTTTAAACCATGAAGCAAACTTTATATATAGTCAACTCCACTAAGAAAAAGTCTACTATTCCTTCATGGATATGTACTATTATAGCAAGTTCAATTGCCTTTTTTGTCATATTTTTACATGCATCATTGATCTTTTGAATTTTTGTGTTGCTAATATGAAATATGTTAGGTCACGATTTGAATTTTGATAGATATGATTGGTTGTGAAATGTTTTGTCACATTTTATTTTGGGTAAATTACGATTGGCCCTGGGTTAAGGTTAAAATCACAAAAACTCCCCTTATTTTTAGGTAATTACAACCACAACCCGTAACTTATTGTCTAACGAAAAAACCCCCTTATACAATAAGTAAATTTGACACCGTAAGAATATACGTGTAAGAAAATACATAATTGAGGGGATAATTGTAATTACTCAAAAAAGAGGGATTTTTTCGTGATTTAATCTTACCTCAGGGGTAGCCGTAATTTACCATTTTATTTTAGTTGATGCAAGTTCTAAATGTGGTGGTTATGATTTGCAATTTTTCAAAAGATGGATATGCCATAAATTTGAAATTTTAATTAAATATTTTTTTTGTCAATATTACGTCTAGATGCCTTGCATGTTTATATAAATAAAGAAAAAGTCAACGGTTATGGGTTATAATTCTGGTTGACCATGTGTTTGTCAGCCTTAAAATTAAGGGTTCTAATTCTTTTGGTAGGTTAAAAAACAGACAACTTTAAAAATGGCGACCACTCATTGGCTAACTCACTTTAATCTTTTTACATTAATTATTGCAGACAGATTAATTATAAAGTTTAATAAGTGTGTTTTAGAGGTTAATTAAATTTATTGAGTTTAGAGGTCAAAGCATCTAAATATCCACTTGAGAAATGGAAGGGCACTCAAACCATTTTTTCCCCTCAAGAAAAATAAAAAATAAATATTTGGCCTCTCTCTATATGTGTAGGGGTGGGAAAATAGATTGATAGATTCCATTTTTTTTATACAAAGTGAAAAATAAATCCCAATTTCGTTTAAATAATTCGAAAATACAAAATTTCGGAATTTGATTTATAGAACAAAATTGACACCATAAAGTGTAATTTTAAGGGGAAAACCAAAAATTTTGAATTATTTTTCAAAATAAAAATTGGACTGAAAATCGGAATATAATATATATTCAAGTTCTCATAAAGAAAATCAATTAAATCAAAATTTTCAGTAATTTGAAATCAAAAAAATATTATTTCAAAATTTTCCGATTTTAATCAACATATTTCGGGTATACCGTTCCAATTTTCACCCCTATCAGCATGCGTAGAAAAGACGAGAATTGAGATATAAACACAAAAATAGTTGTAAAATTCATTAAAAGGGAAAAATTTGCAATTTGAGTATATATATATAATTGTCTTAATCACAACCAAATTGCAAATAATTTTCTTAATCACAACCAAATTGAAAATAATTTACTTAATTTGAAAAAAAAAAAAGAAAAAAGAAAAAGTATGTGGTGGGTGTGACATCCACTAGACGCAATGAATAGTAAAGCATATGCAAACACTAGCCAGCACTAAGCTTTTTCATTGCTTCAATTGTCAATTCTTAATCACACCCTTCTAACGTGTGGTGTTGACTATTAATAATTTAATTAACCACTAATCCTCTCTTAATCACAATTCTCTTTCATAATTAATCCCCTCTCTATAAATACCAAAGTCACATGTTCTACAGTTGTATTAAACCCAAAAACAAAAACACAAAAAAACAAAAACAAATTCTAGAGATGGAAATGAAACTTCTCTCTACCTTCTTCCTTCTCTCTCTAGTGGTAATCTTTTTCTCCATGAATTTATTATTTTTTTTTTATTTATGAATTTTGATAAATTTAATCTATGATTTTTTTTAAAATTTTTTTAATTATTATTATCATTATTCAGTTTGCATGTGTTACCGAAGCAAGACCTAGCCCAGGAGAATACTGGAAGAGCAGAATGAACGGCGAGGCGATGCCTAAAGCGCTGATGGATGTCGTTTCGGATTCGGATGTGAAAACGAGTCGCTTCGTTAAGGATTTCGATACGAAGCCGAATGTTATTATATACCACAGCAATTATCATGCCAACAGTCATGCTCAGGCACCGAAGCCTTGTTGATATCGATCTGTCTGGCTGCGAAAAATTATTATTTTTAAAATAATTATTTGATTACTATTGTTTTTTCGAGATGGTTTTATGTGTGTGAAATGTAACGTCTGGGTCGAGTTTGAGTTCGAGTTTAATTTTATTTCCACATCCCTTTTGGTTTGCTAGGGATTATTTTATAATTTGGAATAGTCCAATCGTTTTTGTTTTTGGGTTTTCAAAGTGTTGCAGAAGATGTAAGGTATTTATATAATCTATAAATTTCAGACATTTTATTATGTGTTTAAACTTATTTTTCTTACATATATACCTGGAATTAATGTGGGATTTATCATACAGTATTTTTTTGTTAACAAATTTTTAGAACCCTCAATTAGTATTTTTAATATAAATAATAGGGTAAATTATTCCTGCCACCCCCGAGTTACGATCAAATTACGAAAAAAACACTCATCTTTTGGTAATTACAACGTGCTCTCAATTTAGTGGGAATCTTGTAGATTATGTGGAATATTCTCCAGTTCTTTTACCCCGTTTGAGCTCCACATTCTTGAAACAAGATGATTGTAAGATGCATCACTTGGTTAATTTGTAAATATCAGATTGTGGTGCAGCAGAAACTGTATTTTTGAACTAAACGTGTACAAACTAGAGAACATTCCACATAATCTAGAAGATTATGTTGAATTTAACACCATAATTGTGGACGTGTAAGAAGATTTTTAGTTGAAGGGGGTGATTGCAATTACCCAAACAAAATGAATTTTTTCGTAATTTGACCAATTTACTCTAAATAATATATAAAATTAATAAATATATATAAGTGTGGAATATGTCCCACCAATTAGATGTTGATGATGAAAATGCTACTATAACACAATATCTAATTTATATTTATGTCGAATTCGATTTTGGCTATATATCTAGCGGATTGATAAGTGTGTGATGTGAGTCCTATATATATATATATATATATATATATATATATATATATATATATATATATATATATATATATATAGGGATAATTACACTTTTGGTCCCTCATGTTTGGCCCGATTTCACTTTTGGTCCCCCTTGTTCCAAAGTGAACAAAGTTCACCTCCAAGTTTCAATTTTAAACACTTTTGGTCCCCGCCGTTACATGTCCGTTAGCAAGTAACGGAAAACACTATTTTGGGGTGAAAATTGATATTTTAAATTTTTTGGGGCTGAAAAATAATTATAAATTTACAATAGACTACTTATAATTTTTAATAATAATAAAAAAGAAATTAACGAAACAAATTATTTGTTATGATACCTAATATTATTATAATTATACTACTTATAATTAAATTTTTAATAGTAAAAAAAATTAACTAAAAAAATTATTTTTAATCATACTTAATATTATTTTAATTATACTACTTATGATAAAAAAAATTAATACCAAAAAAATAAATTAACCAAACAAATTATTTTTAATTATACTTAATATTATTATAATTATACTACGTATATTAACTTTTTAATAATAAAAAAGTAAATTAACTAAACAAGTTATTTTTAATTATACTTAATATTATTTTTAATTATACTACTTATAATAAAAAATTAATAATAAAAAAATAAATTAGCTAAACAAATTATTTATTATTATACTTAATAATAAATATTATTATAATTATACTTACTTATAATTAGTTTTTTTAATAATAAAAAAATGAATTAAATATATTAATATGAATTATACTTAGTATTAGTTTTAATTATACTACTTATGATTATTTTTTAATAATAAAAAAATAAATTAACTAAATAAATTTCATTATACTTAATATTATTAAAGATTTAATTATAAGTAGTCTATTATAAATTTCTAACTATTTTCCAGCCCCAAAACAATTTAAAATTTTAATTTTCGCCCCAAAATAGTGTTTTCCGTTACTTGCTAACGGACATGTAATGGCGGGGACCAAAGGTGTTTAAAATTGAAACTTTGAGGTGAACTTTGTTCACTTTGGAACAAGGGGGACCAAAAGTGAAATCGGGCCAAACATGAGGGACCAAAAGTATAATTATCCCTATATATATATATATATATATATATATATATATATATATATATATATATATATATATATATATATATATATATATATATATATATATATATATATATATATATATATATATATATATATATAATTTTTGGGTAAATTACTAAAACCCTCCTGAACTTAGGTTAAATAACGAAAAACTCCCACCTATTCTTAATTATCAAATCCCTCCCTGACGTTTGTTTATGTCTTACACAAAACTTCCCCTATGGTGTGACTTTTCACTAAATCTTCTTGATTCGAGAGAATATTCACATTAATATGTCGACTCTACCTCCTGCATCAATTTCTCGAAGATATCATTAATTAAGTTGTTCATAAAATTCATGGCCTTGATCGAGATCCGATGTAGACTTTACATATTTTAGACTTTTTTCTTTTATTTTTTCACGTATTTAACCGAAGGGTATAATGGACTTTACACATATTCTATTTAAAAACTCGGTCAATAGTTAGTCAAAGGGGTTTTTTAGTAATTATGGATAGATGTTATGTTTCGTTATTTTGCCTAAGTTTAGGGGGTTTCCGTAATTTACCCTATAATTTTTATATGAATATCTATTGGGTTGATTGGGATCTTCCACTTTCTAATTGCTAAATTAGTGGTTTATTAAAACTTACATAAACTTGGCAAGAATTGTTACTAATATAGTAATATTTAAATAAGAGATAAGATATGGTTTAAAACAGAGGACCCATTAGCAAAAACAGCTATCTTGGATTTTCATGATAATTATTGAGCAATAACATAAACAAATAAAGAAAAGGTACCCCATTTAATGTTTTAAGACAGACAATCTTGATTTTTTTCTTACTTCTGCAATTATTATTTATCAAAATGACAAAAAAATATGTATATATATCTTTTTCACTATTATGAAATATACTGAATTTTATACACAAGATTGAATTATTAGCCATCACTAGGGATATAAATTGGAACGAAATTTCCGAATTCCGTCTATTCTAATCCGAGTATTTTTTGATCTTTTGAACAATATTCTTCGTTCAGAATTCCATAAATTCCGATTTCCCTGAAATTGAACGAAACTGGAATACATATTAGATTCCAATTTCCGACCCGACTTTAATTTCCGAAAATATTTTCGGAAACTAGACTTATAAATTATAACATCAATACTATTACGTATTTTATATTATACATAACTAAAAAATGAAAATTCCAATTCCCGAATCCTATTCATCCGATTTCCACCCCTAGCCATATTACGCACCTATAAATAGGAGCTGCAGATGTGCAAGGGATTCATATCATAAAAAGAAAGAAAGAAAGAAATAATAGTTCGTCGTTTTAAAGTTATGGTATCCATCTACGCTCTATCCGGGCTCCTTTGTATTTCCCTGGTATGTATGCAGAACGACATTTTTCGGTTTTGCACGTGTAATTTTATTAATTTTCTTATTTACATTCTAATCAAGAAATCTCGTTTGTGTTCTAATAATCATGAATTTTACGTATGTAAAAACCGCAGTTTGCAAGCTTCACTAATGCAAGAAAAGATCCAGGGGCGTACCTGCTGCAAGATTTCGGCAAAGTTACATCCACAATCTCCAACGAAGAAATCGACTGTCATGCTTTAGGTAAAGCATCGACACCTAAACCTAAGACTTCTTACACGAAAGAGTTTGAGCCGAGGCCAAATATCTCAGCATACACAGACGATGAAAAAACAGACGAGAATAAATCTTTCGTTAAAGACTTCGAGCCGAGGCCTAATATCTCAGCATACACAGATGATGACAAAACAGAGGAGAATAAATCTTTCGTTAAAGACTTTGAGCCGAGGCCTAATATCTCAGCATACACAGACGATGAAAAAACAGAGGAGAATAAATCTTTCGTTAAAGACTTTGAGCCGAGGCCTAATATCTCAGCTTACACAGATTAAGCAGAATGTTTCGGTTTATCGAGAGTACGGAAAGTAAGATAAATGCGTATATCTGCATTTGATAAATAAAGGTTTGGGTGCGTTATTGTGTGTAATTGTATTGTATGCGCCCGAATACGAGTTGCGTGATACTATTATGGTGTGACTGCATTTAATTTATGCATGTAATGTGTATCCAATCAATGTAACATATATGATCTTTATAAGAGTGAAGTTTCTTGAAATTTAAACTTTTAAATGATAATTAAAAGGGCAAGCAAAATAACATAATATGAAATTAGGGGGCGAAAAAGTACAATCTTTTTTTGTTTAGGGGGCAAAGTGCAAAACGACCCTAAGTTTGGAGGACGAACATTTTTTTTACTCAAGACGATGGTAAATGAATACAATAAAATGCAGAAAAAAAAAAAGGGAATTGGTTTTACATAAAATTTAGCAACCATTAAACAATGCTTTACTGAAAATCATTCCCCGAATAAGCAACTATGTAAAATCAACACACTATAGTATGTACCGAAAATAACCAAGAAAACCAACGAGAGTCGAATTCGCTCCATAATACAAACACCAGAGTAAAACACATGAGTAATTCTTTTCTCTTTTTTTTCGTCCGAAGAATATTTGAATCTCTGTTCAACATTCGCATCCAGTTGACCTTTGTTGACTGCTGCTACCAACATCGATTGTGTCCGGCAGGTATCTACACCATCACCAAGAAGAAATGTTTATCAAGAATTAAGACATTTACATATATATACATATATATGTATATGGAGAGAGAGATGAGATTTTGTACTCACATTTCTTCTTCTTCTCCACTCTTGAGGGCATTCTTGGCGATAACCTGAAACGCCTCTTCAACGTTTGTGCCTTCCTTGGCAGAAGTCTCAAAGTAAGGAATATTCCCTTTCGAGGCACACCATGCACGAGCCTTTTTTTCAGATACCTTATGCAAGCAAAAGTGGGAGTGAAACAACGTTTGTCAATCTCAAATAAATACACGGCTTCAAGAACAAATAACTCCGATGAGCAACAGTAAAGTACAACTAATATATCGGCCATGGCAAAATCACCAAGGTCGAATATCAACTCAAATTGTTGTTTCATGTTGTACCGAAAAGGCATGTATTCAGTCTACATCGTACAAACAAAGACCAAGGATATTCATTGGTTTACAGGCACCGAATAGATATGAAATCCAATTTGGCAGTCCAAAACTACTGCAGCATAATTTGACTTTGTGAAAGAAACCAACGAGTTACATAAAACATGAAGGTAACTTTTCGGAAGTGCTATACTTTTTTCATATTTATTTAATTCCTTGGACACTCGTAAGAGCCAATTCGTACGAGTGCCAAACCTTACAGACCCCTTTATATAGGAGTGCACTTCAATCGTAGTAGGAATAGAAACTTGGAGGTAGAAAGAGCAGAACTGAAATAGAAAATATAACAACATGAAATCCCACGAAGAAAGCGAGAGAGAGGAGATTACCACTCTACTATTTCCACCGTCCACATCAGTCTTGTTGCCAATCACAACGAATGGGAAATTTTCAGGATCTGATGGACTAGCCTGCATTGAAATTTCTGTTTCATTAGTATTTTTTCCATTTTCGTTTTTGTTTTCCTTTCTTCATAAATGGAAAACCCTCGGTATATAAGTCAAAAAGTCTGATTGTTTTGCTGAAATACTTAGATAAAGATTTTTCTTTTGCATTCATGATCATGCTTACTTGGATTTGAGGTGGGGAAATAATCGAGGGAATCGAAGGCAGGAACTCTAAAACGACAAAAAGAATAACCCATGTACCTGAATTAGGAACTCTTCCCTCCAATTGTTAAGGTTGTCAAATGATTTCATCACATTGACATCATAGACAAGCACACAGCAATCGGCACCACGGTAAAAAGCAACCCCAAGACTTTGAAATCTTTCTTGTCCAGCAGTATCCCATATCTAATTAAACAAAGATCGGTCTTATTAGATAATAAGAAACCTACACATCATTCAATTTCATTTCACAACACAAACAACTAGAAATTGGCTAGAGATTATATATGATATGATAACTCAGTTCTATAAAATTAAAATGTGTAGCAAAAGGAACAAATAATCTGCACAATAAAAATATTAAATAACGATACAATCTTTGACCATTTCACAACTATCTAACGGAAACATCCAATATACTAATCGAGTACAACGGCAGTCAGATTCATAAACAATAGCACATAAAATCTATTTGATAACGATGAACAATGTACATGAAAATTGTCGGTGTCTCGTTTAATGATCCATAGGGAAGACCATACGTATAAAGATTTTTCCCTTTTAATGGAACTTTTTTCGTGTATCGCGATTAAACAAATACGTTCGAAACTAACCTGCAAAGTGAAAAGTCTATCCTCAAACTGCACTTCCTTTGTCAGGAAATCTGCCCCGATAGTTGCCTTGTATTGATTGCTGAACTTCTTATTCACATATCTTTAATCGCAGGTCAAGAAAAAACACCACACTAATAACTAAAATTCGATATTCTCAACATTAGCAGCAAAACAACTAATTATCAGCAATTATTTTAGTAAACAAATACTTAATCGAGGATACTGATTCATCAACGAGGTCTTCCCCACCCTGCAAAATCACACAAACATTAGCCACAATATAAATGCATGTACACACACAAACACAATTTCACACTAATTAGCACATAATTCCATCTCCATTCGTCTCGATTGCTTCTAATTCATCGCAGCATTAAACTTCCATATTCGTGTTACTCGATTCTCGAAAGAAACTACAGTAGATTCTAGTCTGCACTAATTTCTCTCTCTTTTTTTTTCCCATTTCACTTCTGCATAATTCACGATCCAAAACGGATGTGCTATAATTCCAATTAATCTAAATCGAACTCATAAAAACACCAATATATCGAGTTTTTGCGCCGCTTAAACTAGAAATTGAAGATCCAAATCAACCCAATCCAAAATTGCCGACACACACACACACGCGCACGCACAGAGAACACCATTTCGCATAAAAAAACAAGTGTATAAACAGAATTATTAGGAAGAAAACTGACCCGCTGTCGCCGAGGATGATGACCTTGAGGAGAGCTCTGCGGCGGGACGGCATCGTGAATCGGGTTCGGGCGGGTTAATTGACCCGATTTTTCGGACTGTGGAAAGCACAAAAAAGGCGATTGGAATTTAGTCTGATGATTCGAATCGGATCGTTTTCGTTTCTCTCTCTTGTTTTTTCGCTTTGCAAGTGTTTCTCTCTCTAGACCATAAACAAAGAACAGCTGGCGACTGACTTAGGCCCAATTTCTTGCTGGATTATTCCCTTATTTTTTTTATTTAATTATAATTATTTTGTGTGTGTGTGTGTGTGTGTGTGAAAATAGATTCATTTTTCATGGAAATATATTAGTTTTATATTTATGTTTTAGGATTTAGATCTGGGTAAATTACAACTGCCTCCCTGATACAAGGTCTATGTACGATAAAACCCCTTATATTTCAATAATTACATGACCCCTAAAATTTGTATATTTCTTATATCGACACCCTTATTTCTCAACAATAAGGGTTTCTTTTTTTATAACTTTACTTTACCTTAGGGAGATGGTTGTAATTTACCCTTTAGATCCTTATCAATGGTCATTTTTTAGTGTACGTAATAGTTTTATGGCCAAATTACGACCACCCCCTGAGTTATGTGCAAATTACGAAAAAATCCATCATATTTGAATAATTACAACAACCTCTCTCGACTATGAATTTTCTTACTCGTCCACCAATGCGGTGGCAAATTTACCTACTAAAGAAGGTGTTTTTTGGTAAAACAATGTATCGGGTGGTTGTAATTACCAAAACATGAAGATTTTTTTTTTTAATTTGAGCATATTTCGGGGTGACTATAATTTACCCTAGTTTTATTATTTTTGCTCTACGTTATTGTTGGCTCAATATCTCCTTCAATAAAAACTAGTAGTTATTCAACGAATCCGATTAATTTTGTAGATGGTGATAAAAACAAAAAATGGATTTTATCCAATAATTTTTTTTTTAATTAATTTACATATTAAATGGGATCTATTTATAAATTTAACGAATCTCTTGTCCCGTATATATTTTAGGTGCGATATTTATGTTCCTTCCCGCCTCGTTTAAAAATCATATGTACGCACGTACCTACGTCGTAAGGCTGTTATACCTTATATATATTATCAATATATATTTCTTTATTATTATTTTTTTTCAAATAAATGAATGGTTGCCAAAAAAAGAAGACAAAAAAAACTGAAAATAGCAAAAAATGTAAGTTGATATTCCCTTTTTGTAGGAGATTGATGGGAAGATTGAGAACATAGTTTTTCTTGGTTGAAATTATTTACCATGCACTTTCTTCTTTTTGTTTCCCTTCTCTTCACAATCATCCCTGCCCCTTCTCCTAAAGGTATTCGCCCCCGATTTTTTATTTTCTTTTTCTCATTTTTTTCACGATGAAATTCGAAATGACATATTATATAATGCTCGTGAATTGAATTTTTATTACAATCGTTTTTGCTAGTTTTGATAAAGGGTTTTGTTTGTTGCATACGTAAAATTTGAATTACGATATATGATTACACGTAACGACGAATGTATCAGTATGTATGTATATTTATATTTACGCGTAACATCATTCTTTTAATAAAATTGAGTTATATATTCTTTTTATTTTGTGGCGATGAATTTTTTTATTTTATTTTTGAGGAAATTTAGATGAATGTGACAAAAAAATGGATGAATATTTGATTAGGGTCGTTTCTTGGGAGAGAGGCGGGGAATTGATCTGGTGCTGAAACTGATACTGAATCTGGCGATAATAATACTATTTCTGAAAAATGTCTTCAACATCACCGGAGGAATCTCCGCCCTCGGATTCCGGTCAATCTTCAAATTCTCCACCACCGCCGCCGTCTGACTCGTCGTCATCCTCCACCTCACCTCCGCCACCTTCCGACAACTCATCTTCATCCACACCACCACCACCTCCACCTCCATCTCAGTCGTCATCTTCACCTCCACCACCTTCCGACGATTCATCACCGCCACCCCCTCCTCCACCTAAAAGCCCGCCCCCTCCTCCACCCCCGGACAAAAACTCATCACCTCCCAACGGCAACAACAACAACAACAACGACGACAACGACAACGACAATGACAACGACAACGGTAACAACAACAACAATAACAAGAAATATCCACCTCCGCCGTCAAATGGAAACTCCGGCCGGCATCCGCCGCCGCCGCCGCGACTGCCTTCTTCTGGATCGTCGCAGTCGTCGAATGACGATCAGAAGGCCGTAATCGCCGGAGCGGCTGCCGGCGCGGGATTGCTGCTGCTAATCATGATCGTGTTCTTGGTGTCGTGTGGTAAGAGGAAGAAGCGGAAACATCGGGATCATATGAACTTCTATACGGATAACTCCCATGGAAATCGAAGTACGTTACTTTCTTCATGAATTTCACATTTCTTTTTTTTTTTTTTTAAAAATCTATTTATTTAATATATAGAAATTTATAGTGTCTAGTGATAAACTTATACATTATTAATTTGCTAATAGAAACTTCAATCATTTTTTTTAGGATGATAAAGTTTTCAATTTTATTAATTAAAGAAACTATTAAACATTCTTGATTTTTATAATAGGGATTATACACAAGTAGTAGCATCTAATTTAATTTTTAAAAATATGTAAAACTTATTAATTAAAATCATACTCTAATAATATTTAATTTATGGCCATTTTGTTTTTTTGATATTACTTTTAGTGCTTGTAATAATTACTATTTTATTGCTTAATTATACAGATAATTTTGCAGTATTCTATAAGTTCGAATGTTTTTTTTTCTAAGGTAATGCCAAATTACAAAAAAACCCTTCTCGTTTGGGTAATTACAACCATCCATCAACTATAGATTGTCTTATATGTCCTCCCATATGGTGCAAATTTACCAACTGAAGTAGGGGGTTTTTCGTAAAAAAACATTTGTTATAAGAGGATAGTTGTAATTACCCAAATATAAGGGGTTGTTTTGTAATTTGACATTACTTAGGGGTTGGCTGTAATTTAAATAAACCTAATAAAAAATCACACGCATTTAATTATATTCCCATGCAGATTCCGACTACTACGACATGCCTCCCCACAACAACTGGCAGCACAGCGGCAACCTCTCCGGCGGGATGGCGAAACCCTCCCCTCCGCCGCCGGGGAGCGCCGGAGTGAGCTCCGAGCACAACTGGATGGTGGGGCCACCCCCGCCTCCACCTATGATGAGCAGCAGCGAGATGAGCTCCGCCGGCTTCTCCGGCCCGCACCAAGCCGCCCTGCCGCCGCCGCACCCGGCGGTGGCCCTCGGGTTCAACCAGAGCAGCTTCACGTACAACGACCTGGCCGCGGCCACGGGCGGCTTCGCGCAGCAGTACCTGCTCGGGCAGGGCGGGTTCGGGTACGTGCACAAGGGGGTGCTGCCCAACGGGAAGGAAATAGCCGTTAAAAGCTTGAAGGCCAACAGCGGGCAGGGGGAGCGTGAGTTTCAGGCGGAGGTTGATATTATCAGCCGGGTCCACCACCGCCACCTGGTGTCGCTCGTCGGGTACTGCATCGCCGGAGCTCAGAGGATGCTGGTTTATGAATACGTGTCCAATGGAACCCTTGAGTATCACCTTCATGGTATGAATTCTCACTGTCTCTTCATATATATACTCTTTCCTTTTCTTTTCATATTTACGAGAAAAAAACTCCTCATATTTTTATAATTGCATTTATGTCCTTGCAATTTGTATATTTCTTACATTAATACTCTTCCTATAGGGGTGAATGTAAGAAATTTATAAATTGAAGGAGTTGGATGTAATTTATCATAAATAAGGGTTATTTTTCGCAATTACACTTTCCCCAAGGAAGGTGGTTTTTATTTACTCTAAAATTATATTATTTTTTTCCATATCTTGTTAAATAATAATATTTTTTTTATATTATACCTTTTTGCCTGGCAGAACATAAGAAATTTATAAATGCAAGAGTGTACCAGCTAGTACGCAAAAGCCCTTTGT